GAATATAAGGAGTGGTGGGGTAGGGGTATGGTGGGGTGGGGGTGAGATCAAATATACGGAGTGGTTGGGTGGGGGTGAGATCAAATATACGGAGTGACAGTGAGACTGGTCTCATTGATCAGACAGGGGGAGACGGAGGAGGGTTTGCTGGATTTACAGGTCTTCTTTTGTATTTACGGAAATGAAATTGCGCGGCCTTATATGTAGATAAGGTCAAATGCGAATTAAAATATAGTGTAGTCCTATATTCGATATATTAGAAAAGTGAATGACTATGGTCTTATTTGTTATGATGTCGTCAAATGTGATTTAAAATGTGAAGTATGACAGCCATACTGGTAGATAAGGTCAAATGTCATTGAAATGATTGGACGAGTTAAGCCTGGAGATTTGCCTGCGTCAGATTGTAGACAAAATGGATATTAAACTTTAACGCCATCTTTAGGAGCGCCGTCTACAGAACACCGGCCACAAGTGGTCGATACCGCCGTTCTAACCTAATCGATTGATTTGATCGACTTTATTCCCGGGGGTCATGCCTGGATAAACGGAAGCCGGGACGGAAAAGTCAATAAGGTTGAAAGTTGAATCATGATTTTCCAATGGCGTTTTTTAACCCCATTTCTCCTAGATCTGCCTCACAGGCGCCGGCCAGGGTTAGTATTGCCTGGTCTTTCAGCGTCCCCGGCCCAGTGTGGGTACTCTGCTCAAATAGGGTTCCCTGGGCCAGGTGGGTACCCGGCCCAATGTGGGTACCCGGCCCAATGAGGGTACCCGGCCCAATGTGGGTACCCGGCCCAATTAGGGTACCCGGCCTAATGTGGGTACCCGGCTAGAGTGTCTGTATTAGTTGTAACGGACACCAGCCAGATAGATGGTGAACGCTCCCGGATTCTTTCTTGGGGTTATATGCAAATGACCTAAAGCCTAAATGAATGAAAACTAACTCAACAACTCACTAGGGCTCGATTTCGAGGTCTAGGGAAAACTAGTGAAACTATTGAAGTTAACAACTCATTCAATCTGCATACAACCTTTAATAAGTGAACAAAGTTGTGGCAGAACACTAGGTTAAACAAGATAAAATATTTAGTTTAGAAATAACAAAACCCAACTTACAAAGCGTAAGAATAAATACTATCACAGATTCTAACACTTTATAAAAATAGCCACAGGTCACATAACACTGCTATAGCATCAAGAATCACTTGGCCACAAGTAATATAATACTAGAATACTTAAACAACTGAATATTGCACGGCAACACACAGGACTTATGCTCTCTCACATTCAACTGGTCAAAATGGACTGCCTGGGGATACCTGTGGGCGATCTATTTATAGACTTAGGTAACATGGAAGGTCACCTTCAACTCATAAGACCATTGGTTGGTGTGGTCATCTGGTCTGAAACAATCAATCATCTCTCGATGGAAAATGTCTGAGTCTAAGACTCTCTTAGTAAGACAGCGGAAAAAAACCGGTGGTTGCACCACAAACCATATATGGTATTATAACAATGACAAACTAAAAATAAAACATTATTAGACCTAAGTAGGTCACATAGTCTCCTTGTGGTGTTACATGGGTTTGTGAAACACTGGTTTGTCTAGCACTGGTTTGTCTAGCACTGGTTTGTATAGAATAGTATGATTAGTGGCGTAGGAAATGTATCGGCCACCTAATGTGCAGACTCGGGTGGGAGGCTGGCTGAAATTTGCATAATGTTTTCCTTAGTGGGGGACAGCAGCTCCCTCTTGACCTGCTGGCTGGACTAAACAAGTCGGCCTATGGATGGCACTCTGCAACAGTGGATAGGGGTTGTAACTGTACAAGTAAACAAAGTGGGTAGGGGAGGTCACTCACAAGTATCTTGTAAATTCAAGTAAATTTGAAAGAATGTCATACTAGATCTAGTAAATTAATTTCTGCAAGCGACTATCGCCTGTGTAACTAACAAAAAAACCCTATACCACCCCAACCCTTCTCTCCTGTATCACACATGTCATAAGTTTGTTGCTGAGCCAAGACATTGAAGAATAGGAGCTAACAATCATACAGAGATCTCTTGTATTTTATAAGTTGTGTAGGCCACTGACAAGCTTCAAGGCTCGCCGTGTTCTGTCTTTTGTGTACAGTCCCCTGAGTTGGTTGTGACGTGTGTCTCTGACGTGTGTCTGGCGTGCTGTGACGTGTGTCTGGCGTGCTGTGACGTGTGTCTGGCGTGCTGTGACGTACTACACACAGGAAACATAGCGTGTGTTGCTGGCGATAAGATAGCCACATCATGACAGCGATGTAAACAGTCGTGATGTTATACACCGGCAGAAACTATGGAGATAGCGTTGTTGTTTCCATGGTTACATGCGTGTAGGATTTATTTTCACTGGTTTGTTGACGGAGGGGGAGAAGATTGTTAAAAGTTCTCGAGAAGATAGTTAAAATTAAAGTTCTGGTTGAGACCGATGCCGCTGACAATGGGATATGATGCTCGCTTGTCCAGAAGTAATAGAAACACGTTCAGAATATAATCTTGGAGATGCCTCATCTAGCCCTTGTCAAGTGCCGCCCAGTGTGGGGCCGGTACAGCAATGATAGAAGCTAGGAGGCACTTGGTACACACTTTGATAGGGGGGGGGGGGCAGCTTTCTACTGTGCATGACAATCGACGACTTGAAGAAAACCTGACATTGAATACAATTACCGCTTCAGGTGAGTGATGCACTTCCTGTGTGACGATGACTTTATGGTGGTCTCTGTGGTCATGTGACCTTGGTCTGGGTGGTCTATGTGACCTTGGTCTGGGGGGTCTATCTGACCTTGGGCTGGGTGGTCTATGTGACCTGTCTTGGTGGTCCTAAAAACAATTTAGTGTATATCCTGTTTTTCCCTGTATCATTGCCATGAGCCCGTTTAAAATTTCTATTTTTAACTCGCGTCATTCATCCACCTGTACTGGATCCTGGCGTCAGGCACCGATCTCAAGTGGTATTGGGCATTGATCCATGGAGCTGATCGATACGGCGGGTCTATATTTAATACTCGTTATTGGCCTTTCATCAGATTGGGGGGGGGGGGCGACAGCTGGCTTAAGTTAGGATTGATGGGCTGGGTTTCAATCTTTTAATAGACTTACAGGCACACACACACAAACACACGTTTAGTATAAATCTTCAAACATATCATACACCATCTCGATCTGTTCAAACTCTACAGTCGAGGGGGGTACACACACACACAAACACACGTTTAGTATAAATCTTCAAACACATAATACACCATCTCGACTCGAACTGTTCCAACTCAACAGTCGAGGGGGGGGGGGGGGGTATATGGGCCACGAGTTTATAAGTAGAGCCATCTAGAAGTATTCACACCAACACAGTTACACCGTGCTGTGTGGGTCTAGGGCGGGGTGTGAACTAGATATCTCTAAACCCTATTCACTGCTGTTTTGGAAACAAATATTCTCCACTGTTTGCACCAAGCTGGTCCTTGCATTCCGTCAGTTGTATCTTTTTACAGCGGGGGCGTTGGTGTGCCTGGTTAGCTAAATGTTCCACATGCCTTCAGTGCGTATAGACATTCTGATGGCTTTTGCTGGCCACCAACCCCTGGATGGCCACCATCACCTGGATAACATCAACCCATCTTGGATGGTCCCCAGCCTCTGGATGGCCTCACCCCCCCCACCCCATCGGATGGTCCTCAGCCCCTGGATGGCCTCACCCCCCCCCTGGACGTTCCCCAGCCCCTGGATGGCCTCACCCCCCCCCCCCCCCCCTGGACGTTCCCCAGTCCCTGGATGGCCTCACCCCCCCCCCCCCCCCCCGGATGATCCCCAGCCCCTGGTTTGTGCTAGCCAGCGTCCGGTGATCTGGGCTGTTGTGTCTAGCTGCTAGAATAATGCGCTGCTTACATCAGTTGGTTAAGTGGTTTCTTCTTGCCCTCAGCCGGCTGTAGGGGCCGTTTATCTGAATGCAAATAATGGAATCAGTGCCAGCCACATTACGTGTGCCGGTGGTGCTGTGTTAGCAATGGTGTGTTTGTGTAGAACTCAGCTGGTAGGTGGTCTAGACAAATGTGATAGGTGGTCTAGACAAATGTGGTAGGTGGTCTAGACAAATGTGATAGGTGGTCTAGACAAATGTGATAGGTGGTCTAGACTAATGTGGTAGGTGGTCTAGACAAATCTGATAGGTGGTCTACTGGTTGACACATCTGAGTGTTGGTGCTTGCACTTACTACAGTGTTCAAGTGCAGGTGCTAGCAAATTGTGTTAAATGGGTACAAGTGCTAGCAAGTGTTCAATGGGTGCAGGTTCTAGCAAATCGTGTTAAATGGGTGCAGATGCTAGCAAGATTTCAATGGGTGCAGGTGCTAGCAAATCGTGTTAAATAGGTGCAGGTGCTAGCAAATGGTGTTAAATGGGTGCAGGTGCTAGCAAATTGTGTTAAATGGGTGCAGGTGCTAGCAAATTGTGTTAAATGGGTGCAGGTGCTAGCAAATTGTGTTAAATGGGTGCAGGTGCTAGTAAATTGTGTTAAATGGGTGCAGATGCTAGCAAGATTTCAATGGGTGCAGGTGCTAGCAAATTGTTTTAAATGGGTGCAGGTGCTATCAAATGGTGTTAAATGGGTGCAGGTGCTTGCACTGACAACTGACGCCACCCATGTAATTTCGCGCCCGTCAACCGAATGTCTTCCATTTTCTCACGACGACTTGAACTTTAAAAAACCAATTGTCTGGCGGGTCTTAAACTGCGGCGTCATCCATCTTCTCTTCCTTTCTTCTTCTCCTCTCAGTGCCCACACATCCCAACTCATACACCTCACCCCACACGAAACATCCCCCACACGAAACATCCCCCACACGAAACTTCCCCCACACGAAACCTCCCCCCTACATCTACGACTGTATTACCCAATCACGTTGTGTGTCATGTCCTTACTAACTCATATCAGAATCGTTGTGGTAGGGTCAAGTTTTCAAGGTGTTATCATGGTCCCCTGGGAGTGGGGTTCAGCTCGTGGTCCCCTGGGTGTGGGGTTCAGCTTGTGGTCCCCTGGGAGTGGGGTTCAGCTCGTGGTCCCCTGGGTGTGGGGTTCAGCTCGTGGTCCCCTGGGTGTGGGGTTCAGCTCGTGGTCCCCTGGGAGTGGGGTTCAGCTCGTGGTCCCCTGGGTGTGGGGTTCAGCTTGTGGTCCCCTGGGAGTGGGGTTCAGCTTGTGGTCCCCTGGGAGTGGGGTTCAGCTCGTGGTCCCCTGGGTGTGGGCTTCAGCTCGTGGTCCCCTGGGAGTGGGGTTCATCTTGTGGTCCCCTGGGAGTGGGGTTCAGCTTGTGGTCCCCTGGGAGTGGGGTTCAGCTCGTGGACCCCTGGGTGTGGGGTTCAGCACGTGGTCCCCTGGGAGTGGGGTTCAGCTCGTGGTCCCCTGGGTGTGGGGTTCAGCTCGTGGTCCCCTGGGAGTGGGGTTCAGCTCGTGGTCCCCTGGGTGTGGGGTTCAGCTCGTGGTCCCCTGGGTGTGGGGTTCAGCTTGTGGTCCCCTGGGAGTGGGGTTCAGCTCGTGGACCCCTGGGTGTGGGGTTCAGCGCGTGGTCCCCTGGGAGTGGGGTTCAGCTCGTGGTCCCCTGGGTGTGGGGTTCAGCACGTGGTCCCCTGGGTGTGGGGTTCAGCTCGTGGTCCCCTGGGAGTGGGGTTCAGCTCGTGGTCCCCTGGGTGTGGGGTTCAGCACGTGGTCCCCTGGGAGTGGGGTTCAGCTTGTGGTCCCCTGGGAGTGGGGTTCAGCTTGTGGTCCCCTGGGAGTGGGGTTCAGCTCGTGGACCCCTGGGTGTGGGGTTCAGCACGTGGTCCCCTGGGAGTGGGGTTCAGCTCGTGGTCCCCTGGGTGTGGGGTTCAGCTCGTGGTCCCCTGGGTGTGGGGTTCAGCTCGTGGTCCCCTGGGAGTGGGGTTCAGCTCGTGGTCCCCTGGGTGTGGGGTTCAGCTCGTGGTCCCCTGGGTGTGGGGTTCAGCTTGTGGTCCCCTGGGAGTGGGGTTCAGCTCGTGGACCCCTGGGTGTGGGGTTCAGCACGTGGTCCCCTGGGAGTGGGGTTCAGCTCGTGGTCCCCTGGGTGTGGGGTTCAGCACGTGGTCCCCTGGGTGTGGGGTTCAGCTCGTGGTCCCCTGGGAGTGGGGTTCAGCTCGTGGTCCCCTGGGTGTGGGGTTCAGCACGTGGTCCCCTGGGAGTGGGGTTCAGCTTGTGGTCCCCTGGGTATCGGGTTCAGCTTGTGGTCCCCTGGGTGTCGGGTTCAGCTTGTGGTCCCCTGGGTGTGGGGTTCAGCTCGTGGTCCCCTGGGTGTGGGGTTCAGCTCGTGGTCCCCTGGGTGTGGGGTTCAGCTCGTGGTCCCCTGGGTGTGGGGTTCAGCTCGTGGTCCCCTGGGTGTGGGGCTCAACTCGTGGTCCCTTGGGAGTGGGGTTCAGATCGTGGTCCCCTAGGAGTGGCGTTTTATATTGTGTTGTTTCTAGTCCCCTACTACCGGTGTGACCCTGTATACCATCTTGTATTGGCCACTGGGATCACAACTTTGTATTGGCCACTGTGATCACAACTTTGTATTGGCCACTGTGATCACAACTTTGTATTGGCCACTGTGATCACAACTTTGTATTGGCCACTGTGATCACAACTTTGTAATGTATTGGCCACTGTGATCACAACTTTGTATTGGCCACTGTGATCACAACTTTGTATTGGCCACTGTGATCACAACTTTGTATTGGCCACTGTGATCACAACTTTGTATTGGCCACTGTGATCACAACTTTGTATTGGCCACTGTGATCACAACTTTGTATTGGCCACTGTGATCACAACTTTGTATTGGCCACTGTGATCACAACCTTGTATTGGCCACTGTGATCACAACTTTGTATTGGCCACTGTGATCACAACTTTGTATTGGCCACTGTGATCACAACTTTGTATTGGCCACTGTGATCACAACTTTGTATTGGCCACTGTGATCACAACTTTGTATTGGCCACTGTGATCACAACTTTGTATTGGCCACTGTGATCACAACTTTGTATTGGCCACTGTGATCACAACTTTGTATTGGCCACTGTGATCACAACTTTGTATTGGCCACTGTGATCACAACTTTGTAATGTATTGGCCACTGTGATCACAACTTTGTATTGGCCACTGTGATCACAACTTTGTATTGGCCACTGTGATCACAACTTTGTATTGGCCACTGTGATCACAACTTTGTATTGGCCACTGTGATCACAACTTTGTATTGGCCACTGTGATCACAACCTTGTATTGGCCACTGTGATCACAACTTTGTATTGGCCACTGTGATCACAACTTTGTATTGGCCACTGTGATCACAACTTTGTATTGGCCACTGTGATCACAACTTTGTATTGGCCACTGTGATCACAACTTTGTATTGGCCACTGTGATCACAACTTTGTATTGGCCACTGTGATCACAACTTTGTATTGGCCACTGTGATCACAACTTTGTATTGGCCACTGTGATCACAACTTTGTATTGGCCACTGTGATCACAACTTTGTATTGGCCACTGTGATCACAACTTTGTATTGGCCACTGTGATCACAACTTTGTATTGGCCACTGTGATCACAACTTTGTATTGGCCACTGTGATCACAACTTTGTATTGGCCACTGTGATCACAACTTTGTATTGGCCACTGTGGTCACAACTTTGTATTGGCCACTGTGGTCACAACTTTGTATTGGCCTGTGGATCTCTGTGTTAGCATTAGTGTCTCTTGTGCTGATCTCAGAATTTACTAAGTTTGTCCTGGAGATTATCTCGGAATCTGCGATCCCAGAGTCGTCAGTTTTTTTTTTTTTTTTTTTTTTTTTTTTTTTTTATAGTTCTGAAAATTCAGTAGTAGCATATGCCTTGACTGTACATTATATCACCTTAAAGCAGGCTAATTATGTACCATGGCGACAGGTCATATAACACCCATAGACCTGTAACACGAGTACGAGACCCCCCCCCCCCCGTCTTGTCGCAGCAAGAACCCCAGTGACGTCAGTCCGAAGCTCACAGGTCCCATAACTCCAACATTTTGTTAGATTACCTCCCAACACGTCAGGGGCGCCAATCTAAAGGCGATTCATTAATAAAAGATGTGCCACGTGAAGCACCGCTCCAACGGCCGGCCACTGACAACTCGATCTGTTGGATCGATTACAGGCGGGGGGGGGGCGTCTTCCTTGGGCTCTTACACAATACATTCGTCCTTGTTTGAAGCAGTTTTAACAATACACCCCTCCGTTCGTTTTATGAAGCAGTTTTCTTATACAATACATCCGTCTGTTCGTGCTGTGAAGTCGTATAGCTTTTGTTCGTTGATTGAAGCAGTTATCTTACAGAATGTTAACCTCTGCTTAATGTTGTGCAAGCTAGTTACGGTGGGATGGTGGTTTGACCTTAAGAGACGGTGTGGGGGCTTGTAAGACTGCATTTTTTTTAAAATTAATAAATTGGTTTAGTAAATATTATGGGGGATATGGAGGAGTTATTTTAGGGATGGGAGGGGGGTGGGTCTGGTTTCTCGTGGCGAATTGTGAAAGTATGGTGGTGGAGGGTGATGTCGTTAGTGAAATAACCCTTATACGTTACACTTGTTGACATGTGTCCTCTGATACACCCCCCCCCCCCCCCCCCTCATCTACCCTGTTCCTCTCCGTCCCACTTGCATGTGGATGCCCTTGATTGGAAAATGATCTCCCCCTAAATCTCCATTTCACGCATAATCGATTCTCGCGCTCAGGAAATTTCTATTGATTCCCCAGTAAGATAAGTGACCTCCTACACATACGTAGGTTATATATATATATATATATATATATATATATATATATATATATATATCCTTGAGTATATCCATGCCCAACATGTGTATGTGTTCTGCTCTGCGCCCAGTTGGTTTAGAAGACAGTTTTTTGGCCATTATTTCCGCCAGTTGGCAAGGATGACCGGAAGTGTTGTGTGTCGGAGTTCCGCCTACCGCCGTCCTGCGCAGTTTACCGAGTGCTAATCGCGTTAGGCCAGTGGCTCTGCCGTGTCGTCAATGTTGGCTCACAAAAATTTCTTCCTGCGTCCGTTTTTTTTCTCTCTCTTCACACGCCGCTTGTATCTCATTAAAAATTGTGTTGCGTCATTCGTTAGCTGAATAAATTTAAAAAAAAACGTTTCTCTTTCATCTGTTACTGTAAAAAACCTGTCCATGACATCTCCGCCCTGACGGTGTGAACCCCCACACTTGTAGATGTGTGTTGGGATTACAGGTTCTCAAACTATACACTCCTGACACCCTCGGTAGATATTATGACGAACACTATTGGATAAGTATCTTCAAAACACGGAGGTTCGTGACCCCGGTGTAAATTTGAACATAGTTTGAGAAGCGCTGATCTGCTGGTGAATTTTGCCGTAAGATGATTTCCTTTAGCCCCAGATAACCCTGTTGTGTTAGAAGTTGTCTTGGTGGCTGTACTGTAGTTTTGATCTGATAGAGCCAGACTTGTGCTTGATTAAATCATCTAATCTAAATTTTAATTTGTTTTACAGATGTTACCAGAGGTTGTTCAACTGGGGTGAGTCACAATGTGTTGATGGTGTACATACTCTGTATACTAGTCGTATTAGTGTTGGTCTCTCTATGACAGTCGTGTTTGTCTTGTTATAGCTGGTGCATATTTTCTTATATTCTTGATACTTCAGCCATTGTGTCGGCCTGACTAGTGTTTAGTGACCGTCACCGACAACTGGCCAGTGCTACTCAACACGGCGTAGTTTTGTAGCGTGCTGACGCTTGCTTACAGTGAAGCCTAGTGGTCAACCCGTAATGGTCCACTACTGACCGACCCTCGTAACACTTATGGTCTTGTCACGTTTTCCTTTTTGGTTGGTAGGGGAGGTAGAGGAGAGCGGGTTGAGATAGACGTAAGTGACCACACTTTGTACACGTGTTCGTCACCACGGGGCGTGGCTTGTTCTGCAGTCACGTGTCTGATCTATACAAAAATTAGAATTTTAGTTTTCAAGTCTTTCCAGTTTTTCTCTGGCGATTTAGTGTGTTTATTCACGCTATGTGAGCGTGGCACGCCTATAATAGATTCATGTAGTGTCGGCACGCCACTAACAGATTGTAGCATGCCACTAACATATCGTAGCACGCCACTAACATATCGCAGCACGCCACTAACAGATTGTAGCATGCCACTAACAGATCGTAGCACGCCACTAACAGATTGTAGCACGCCACTAACAGATTGTAGCACGCCACTAACAGATTGTAGCACGCCACTAACAGATTGTAGCACGCCACTAACAGATTGTAGCACGCCACTAACAGACTATAGCACGCCACTAACAGATCGTAGCATGCCACTAACAGATCGTAGCACGCCACTAACAGATCGTAGCACGCCACTAACAGAAGGCCATGCATAGCCGATTCGCCCCTGATAAATGTCTGAGGGTAGTTTTTCATCAAAATAAGATTTTTTTTTTTAAATAAAGATATTAATCTAAGATTGTCATAATCCGGGTTTATCCTAATCCCGGCTTGTCATAATCCTAGCGTGTCATGACTCCCATTCATCATGGCTCCCGCTGTCGATGCGCATGTCTATGACGTCAGTAGATTTCGCCTTCAAAATGTCAAAAAGCGCGTGTCGATATGTACGCCAATCCATTTCATTTTTTTCCCTGACGATTCGCGACCGTGTTGCCAGATCAAAATTTCAAAAAGCAAAGGAAAACATGAACCAAAGGCAAAAAAAAAAAAGTAAACTAAACAAATAAAAATGCATTTCCGTTAGCTTAAAGAAAGTTTTTGAAGTGTTGACCTGTCGCTTCGTTTAGTCTGCATTTTATAAACCATTCAAAGCAAATCTATTTCAAAGTGGCCATCCTATTTTGTATATTAGAATTTTAGTTGTAGGCTCTGAATATTATTGTATTATGCTTCAATATAACAATGATTGTTTTATATTCGTATTGATGTTGTTATTCAAATTTAACGGTAGGCTCTTTGTGAAAATTTTCTACATTGTAAAAGTTGGTTTCATAAACTGCCAATGTGGCAACTCTGTCGACTACCAGCCCGGGCGAAGATGTAATGGTAGCAAACTACTAAACATAGACCTAGCGTTGCTTCTCTGGCGGTTAGCGGAGGTGGGGGGTCGATGTTAAACCGGAAGTTGTTGAAATATGGAGTTACGTATACGGAAATGTCACAGAAATTATCTGGTTATTAGAAAATACTCTTACGTCAAGTAGAGTAAACTTATTCGCTGTAGGGTTGGGGGTGATACCATCATAAACGTATTCATCTTGTGTGGGGGAGGTGATAAAACATGAAGCACATTCGTTTGGGACGAGGGGGGGACGTGACACACATTCGTTGTGTGGGTGATATCATTTACACTTTCTGTATGGATGATATTATCGTAAACATATCCGTTGTATATAGGATACCATGATAAGCACATTCCTGTTTAAAACAACACTTTTACACTTGAGTGATCCCCCCCCCCTCAGCATCTTGTTCCACTCGAGTGATCCCACAGCTCACCCATGTGTTAATGACGAACGATAGGCCCTACAGACAAAAGACATGATCTACAGACACGAGACTTTACAGACAGTCATGACACATGTTTGTGCTGTACACTGGCGACTTACATGCGTGAATAAGTCCTCCCAACTACACAGCGTCTTGCTGTTACCTATTGTCGCGGTGGATATTGGAATAAGTCCACCCAACTATACTTACTGTTACCTATTGTCGCGGTGAATATTGGAATAAGTCCACCCAACTCTACATCGTCTTGCTGTTACCTATTGTCGCGGTGAATATTGGAATAAGTCCACCCAACTATACTTACTGTTACCTATTGTCGCGGTGAATAATGTGTAAATACCAAGTTCACAAGACTGGTGACTGACATGGGGGGGGGGGGGGCAGACACGAGGGTTAAGTCCTGGCGTTTAGTCGTGCGTTATGTGAACCTTTACGTCATAGCTGGATGAACACGCTTGGCTGACCACGACATGACGTCATCTCCGCGTGCTTACACTGGAGGATCCCTCGGGATAAGTCGGTCATGTACTTGGCTGGACATGCGCCACAAAGCACACCTGAGTACTCACACCACTGACAGCACGCGAGCACACACGTGGTAGCCGAGTACTCACACCAGTGACTACATGCGAGCACACACATGCGTCTTTACCCACCCGCCCGTCTGCACCTACCCTACCGTCTGCTACACTCCCGCCATCTGCTGCTGTCCCCTGCCAGTTCCCCATCATATCATTGGTTATCGGCCCTAACTCTCGAGTGACCTGATTTGGAGGGCGCGCCGAGATTTCAAACATGCGAACAGATAAGCAGCCTTGATTACAGATCGGATCGGGACGAAAAACTGGTTGATTTCTGAGACCCCCAGGATCAGTAAATTGGTTGTGTATTGGATTCTTTTAAAGCTCGCGTGTGCTGATCGTGTGTGGTAGTTTTGACTGACCGTAATGCGAGTGTTGCTGTTCTGGGCTGCTGTGTATCTTCGTGTGTTGTTGGATGTACTCGTGTGTGCATTGGATTAGCGGATATAGATCTATAGGCTATCTAAAGTTGTTGGGTTTTAACTCGTTTGTGCGTATATTTTATATTATACTACATGTTGATCTTAGATCTAGATCTTAGTTAATTCATAGATCTATATTATATATTTTTTTAAACTAAATTTTAATTCGCGCTAAAATGTTTTTCTGCTATTTTGAACATTGCTTCCTCTGTTGTCATGCGTCGAAGCGGGCAAGCGAAATTTCGACCACTTCTAACTGACCAATTTAATTCAAACTTGGCACTTGTTTCAAGATTGGATTACAATGCACGCTTTTTAATTTTGTATAGTTATTCAGTTAGTTATATATTTAAAGAAAAACGTTTATTTTCTACTTTTTAATGCATTTTATTAAACCTTATTAGGCCTATATGAAAGCTAGTTACTAAAACATTTTTTATTTAAAAAAAAATAATGTGACATTGCTAAATTTTAGAACTTTTGACTGTTGCTGTAGTTTGAAATTAGATTCTTGATTCTCAAGTGTATGGCAAGATCTGCTGATCCAGATTTCAGTCAGCCTGAATCTAGATTTAGATCTAGGCTATTTGTCATTAATATTTATTTGGGGAAGTGTTAAGTTGAAGCATGCTATACATCATACAAAGACGCTTTGTGTAACCACCGATCCATCTATAGCCAAAGTGGGATATTTCTGAAAGGTCCTTTGGTGTTTACTGGAGTGTGAAAACATGGATTGGCCTTTAAAACATGGCAGGTCATGTTCCTGAATCAAGACCCCCCCCCCCAAACCACACAGAGACTAGCTTATCTTGTATGACATATCCCCAGAACTGAGTGTAGTGTTACCCTATAGGCCTAGACTGGTGCTATAGGCCTAGACTGGTGCTATAGGAGTGCTATAGGCCTAGTCTGGTGCTATAGGACTAGACTGGTGCTATAGGACTAGACTGGTGCTATAGGCCTAGACTGGTGCTATAGGCCTAGACTGGTGCTATAGGAGTGCTATAGGCCTAGACTGGTGCTATAGGCCTAGTCTGGTGCTATAGGCCTAGACTGGTGCTATAGGCCTAGTCTGGTGCTATAGGCCTAGACTGGTGCTATAGGCCTAGACTGGTGCTATAGGAGTGCTATAGGCCTAGACTGGTGCTATAGGAGTGCTATAGGCCTAGACTGGTGCTATAGGTCTAGACTGGTGCTATAGTAGTGCTATAGGCCTAGTCTGGTGCTATAGGTCTAGACTGGTGCTATAGTAGTGCTATAGGCCTAGTCTGGTGCTATAGGTCTAGACTGGTGCTATAGTAGTGCTATAGGCCTAGTCTGGTGCTATAGGTCTAGACTGGTGCTATAGGCCTAGACTGGTGCTATAGGCCTAGTCTGGTGCTATAGTAGTGCTATAGTCCTAGACTGGTGCAATAGGTCAAGACTGGTGCTATAGGTCTAGACTGGTGCTATAGGCCTAGTCTGGTGCTATAGGCCTAGACTGGTGCTATAGGCCTAGACTGGTGCTATAGGCCTAGTCTGGTGCTATAGGTCTAGTCTGGTGCTATAGGCCTAGTCTGGTGCTATAGGTCTAGACTGGTGCTATAGGCCTAGTCTGGTGCTATAGGCCTAGACTGGTGCTATAGGCCTAGTCTGGTGCTATAGGCCTAGTCTGGTGCTATAGTAGTGCTATAGGCCTAGTCTGGTGCTATAGGCCTAGTCTGGTGCTATAGTAGTGCTATAGGCCTAGTCTGGTGCTATAGGCCTAGTCTGGTGCTATAGTAGTGCTATAGGCCTAGTCTGGTGCTATAGGCCTAGTCTGGTGCTATAGGCCTAGTCTGGTGCTATAGGCCTAGTCTGGTGCTATAGGCCTAGACTGGTGCTATAGGCCTAGTCTGGTGCTATAGGCCTAGTCTGGTGCTATAGGCCTAGTCTGGTGCTATAGTAGTGCTATAGGCCTAGTCTGGTGCTATAGGCCTAGTCTGGTGCTATAGGCCTAGTCTGGTGCTATAGGCCTAGTC